TTGTATTTGTGCAAAGATAAACCTGTCGATAATTGAATAAATGAGTGACTGAATGGATTATTCAATAAATAAATTTTATAAGTATTAAATATTAGCATCCTTGGAAATCATGAGCAAAATTTCTTTTCATCTTTCATTCAAAATATTAGCAAATTTATTTATAAGTTATGATTTAAAGAGAAATCTAAATCTTATCATGAAATAAATATTTTTTCCTAAATCTATTTGTGCCACAATTGTTGGCACCGCTAGAAATTCTTCAGCATGAAATCTAACTGAAGTATTTTTCTATTCATATTTTTTGCTTTAATGTCAATTGGAGTGATTAGGAACACTTAAATGGCCAGCCAAGACTTCCTGATTCACTGGGGAATATATATGAGATGAAACAAAGGCCAAATTCCCTGAGTCATCCATCATTATGAGAAAGGCCAAAGAGTACAACAATGAAGTGTGACAATCGGTTGTTGAGCTGCACAAATCAGGATACGACTACAGGAAAATAATGGTTGAGAATGCCCATTTCCGCTGTCAGGCAATAAATAAGAAGCTTAAAAAAACTGGAGATGTGAAAAACCTGCCGTGAAGACGACATATACTTATACTGACCCCAACGCACAGTGAGGAGGATAGTTTGAGTGGATAAAGAATATTTAAGGATCACAGATGGGAATTGCAGACATTAGTTTGGTCTTGGGGTCAGAACATCTCCTAAACCACAATCAAACACCACCTACATAACCACAAGTTATTTCGAGGGGTTGCCAGAAGAAAGCCTCTGCTATCAAGGGCCAGCAAACTCAAGCTCCTACGCTTTGCCAGGTGTTACTGGAACTGGACCGTGTTCTATGCTTAAATGAGACTAAAATACTGTGAGGCTGTTTTTTCTTCCAAAGGCCCTGGACAGTTTATTCAGATACATGGTATCACAGACTTCATCAAGTACCAAAATAAATAAAATCAAAATCTGGCTGCCTCAGCCAGGAAGCTTAAACTGGACCATAGTTTGGATCTTCCAGCAGGACAATGATCCTAAGCACACCTCAAAATCAACACAAAAATGGTTCACTGACCACAGAACTAGGGTTTTGCCATGTCCACCCCAGTCCACTGACCTATATTCCATAGACAACCTGTGGGATGAGCTGAAGAGGGGAGTCCAAGTGTGGACCTCTGAATCTGAAGGATCTGGAGAGGTTCTGCATGGAGGAATGGTCTCAGATCTTTTACCATGTGTTCTCCAGTCTCATTAAGCAATACAAAAGAAGACCCAGAGCTGTTATCTTTGCAAAGAGAGGCAACACAAAGTATTAAACGAAGGTGTGCCAAAAATATAGTATATATATATATATATATATATATATACATATAATATACAATATATATATACACACACACACACACACACACACACACATATATATATATATATATATATATATATACACAGATTCTCATAGGTCTGATTCACATATACTGCGTTTGCGTGAGCGACGCGGAAAGTCTTGCTTTTCATTTCGGTGCCCATGTTAAGTGGTCAGCGCCTTCAAACAGGCTGCACACTGCGCATGTCACACATCTAAATACACTATAAAAAGCCATGAAAATAAATGAAAATTAAACAAAAGACTGCATAAAAACTTTAAGATGCAGTTTTTACATAATTCATGACAAAATGCTAGTTAAACATTCTGTGCTGCAGACAGATTTCCCAGTTGGTCTACCAGGCTTGAGGTCAGAACGCTGTCCAGGATAAACAAATATACCGTGCACTTTTATTAATTATAATTTTGTTGAGCAGAGTGACTGAAGTGACCATTTATCCGTCTGGAAACAGGAATGTCTGTATAATTTTCTGACTGCTTCTCAACACAAACGCTGTATGTATGAAAGGCCAGTGCATCCGAGCTGTAGCGTGCGCCGCCGCATCACTCACACCACGCAGAGGCAGCATGTGTGAATCAGGCGTTAGGGAGATGACGGAGTCTTCAGTCTGACAGCCACAGCTGCACAGCAAGGCACCAAAAATAACCGCTCTGTGGTTTAACTCCTGCTCTGTGTTTACTGGGAATGAATGGTGTTGAAGTTACTCACAGCAAGCCTAAAGACCATGACTGCTGTGTTATTTCAGCAGAAAATAATGTATTTGTGAATAGACTGTGTCCGATATTGGATGTGCATGGGACCGAGCGGGTGGGAGCGGGACAAATCGTTTTGGTTGTGGGCGGGACCGGAAGACATGATTCCGATTTTTTGCGGGAGTGGGCTGAGTGGGATGAAATCGTCCTGTGCAGACCTCCAGCATGAAGAACCTCAATCCTCAACCAGCACTGAATTTCGCAGTAAACCTGTTTACAGAACCAGCACCTGTTTACTGAATCCTCAATCCTCAACCAGCACCTGTTCACTGAATTTCTTTCAGCATATCTAAGCTGTAGTTCATTTTCTTATGAAAATAAGCACCAAATATAGTGGATGAGTCAAGACTTGGATGTAATAAGCCTCGGCAAGACTCAAAAGTATCTAGAGCAGTGAATGTGCCTCAACCATGTACCATACTATCTTGTCCGAGCCAGCCAAAACATCAACCATGCTTTCTGATACCGCACACAGTATACACACTGTAAACATGCTTACCATCCACATTATCAGAAACTCCTACCTTGTACTTCTATCCAGTGACCACTTTAGTAACTACACCTACAACACAGCACTGAAAAAGTCTGAGATCGCCATTTATTTATTCAATTTCTAGGCAAAACGACCATTTCTCAGTTTAGAAACTGTACAACAATACAGGCACTTCCAAACACATTCAGTAATGATGAGGTATGGCCTCCTGGGTGGTCAGTCCATTGTTCAGCTTCTTTGTTTGATGTGTCCATCTCCTTTTCTCAGTGAGGTTCTTCCTGACAGCTACACATCCTTTCAGACCCACAGCGCTGAGTCGTCTTCTCACAGTGGAAGGATGGACAGAAACACCTGTGGATGTTTTCAGATCTGAAGCAGCTTGATTTTCTCCTCTTTCTCAGCTTTAAGTGCTGTTTATCTGATGGGGTCAGTTTTGGTGTCTACCAGGTCTTCCAGGTGCTTGTCAGTAGGGTTTTCTCTGCAGGTTTTAATCACTTTTTGAACTCCAGTTTTGGAAACTCCTGTTTCTTTACTTGTTTTCCTTTGACTTTCCCCTTCACTATGCAATTGGAATATCTTACATCTTATCTATGGATTAATAAGTTGTACTCAAAGGCAGTTTTGACCTTAAATTACGAAAATGAAGGGTGGTCTCTGACTTTTGCACAGTATTGTAAGGTAGGTGGGGCTCATAAAGAGGTCACTGAGTGGAAGGACAAGGTTTGAATTTTACCTAGTTCTGTACAGGTGTACAGGTACACACCGTAGCGCATTTAATGTACTGTGTATCAGCCCCCCCCCTCCAAATCCACTCATCATTGGTCAGCTTCTGGCCACACGATTGCTATTAATGGGATACTATTTGGGTGGTGGACCATTCTCAGCATAGCAGTGACACTAGCATGATAGTTTCATGGCAGTGTGTGGTGCTGGGGTTACAGATGTCAATGTCACTACCCAAAAATAGTAAAGTCAAGCATGGCTCTGTGGTCAGAAACAGACCATGGATAAAAAGCTAGACAAAAGCTAGCCCAAATTATGCATGGCAATAAATGGATAACCCAAGTGAACATCAACAAGGTGGACAGTTTTCAAGTAACGTTGCCGGTAAGCATATAAAAGAATTCTGCCTTCCAGCGCTGTTTAATAAACCAACCATATGGCTAACTGTTGTGTTAATGGTGCTGCAGCTAATGGAAATGCTGATGGCTTCTATTTTGAAAATGATAATGCTGTAATTAGCATCACAAGCCAGGACATAAACAAGAAGAAGTGGTTGAATGTGAGGGTCAAAATGAAAGGATAGTGCATTTTTATAGGTGTTTGCAAGGGGGGAAAAATGTTGATTCAGTTTGTGCACATCTGGCTTTTTAGTTTATTTTAGTTTTTTTTTTTTGGTCTCTAACAACTGTGTAGTTACATATTAATAATACATGTAGACACTATGTAACTGTAAAATGTACTGGTGATGTATTCACTGTTACAGATGGATTACAGTAGTACAGGTTATGTAAAGTTTTTAGTCATGTAATTACACAAGTGTATCTTGAAAGGTGTAATAGTATATTTTCTCGTATGTAATAACATATAATAGAGTGAACTGCTGCTTTTCCAAAAAGATTTTTTGGACTGTATCAGGTGGTGTGTAATTTCCTATATGATGAGAGTACTTACGCTACATCTACACAGGAAATGCTAACTTTACTAAGAACTTTACTAAGCTGGCTTTGGTTACCACATCACAACACAAGCATACTACTGCAGCTAGCTGAATGTTAGGAAAGTTGGCATTTCCTTCAGAGACACAGTGTATTACTGTACTCCATCTGTAACAGTAAATATATATCATCTACACTTACAATGTGTTGCATGTATTGTTAATGTGCGACTAAACAGCAACCAAAGACAATTAATAAAAAAGTGAGACCAAAAATATCTTGTTTTCAGATTGTTTTCATCCAATCAATAAGATACTCAAGTTTATGAGGAGAAGTACAACTAACCTTAAACTTTAAACCTAAGGCTTGACCCTAAAATAGAAGGAACAGGAATGGCAAATATGAGGAACATTCTTCCATAATCACAAAACACAGATTCATGATGGTCTAACTTACTTTGAGAATGTTAGGGTTGTGATTAGTTTAGTGTTGGAGTGTTAGAACAAAAAGTTACTTCAAGTCACTTGAGGCTGTGATTCCTCAGGTTTAAGGTTCAGGATTTAGGACTAGGAATTAACCCCTTAGAATCCCAGTCTTATTACGTACTAAGGCTTACTATTTAGTAACTACAGGGATTGTGTGGATTATTCTTAGCTGAATGTGTGTAATAATACCGTTGTTAGGCCCTGGCCATTCAAGGGATTAACGCACCTTGAGGAAGTTGAGATTGCGGTTGCGCTCAATGCTGGTGATCTCCAAATTGCCCATCACCACCTCACAGTTCTCGTAGAACTTGCGCAGAGTGTGGTACTGCTGGTCCAGGTCCGACAGGGTGCTGAGCTTGTTATCAGTGCCAGGACAGACTGCAGAACAGAGAGAGAGATTGGTGAATTTTGTTTACACATAGAAAAATGGACTTGCATACTACAAATAAAGAGATAGGAACATTATTCGGTATCGGCAAAGTGACTTCAGGCCTGCTTTTCTAGCGTCCTACAGGCTCATTTGAAAGCATGTTATTCAAATAATACAAGAAAAAGTGCTGACTGATGGAACTACAACTGATGCAAAGTTTCACAATCGTTCGCTTGTAAACACTAAAGTGAGGGCTTAAAACTGGAATGCCAGTTATATTGTTAGTGTGCATGAAGTGGTTTCCTGGTCGAGGACAAGGTATTGGGTCTTTGGGGCATAGCCACACATAAGGTAAGCCGTTTTCTGCCCCAATATGGGTGGCAGACTTGAAATATGTAATAAAACACACCTCTTTCCACCCATCAAACAACTTCCTTTAGCCAGGAGGAACCATCTGCTCTTTCAGCTGCCTCACTGAAGCAAAACATCAGTGCGTGTACTTTTATAAGTGCCAAGATGCCAAGATAATTCCATCCTAACATCTTAGCCCACATATATACTATTATGTGGGCGGGTGTAAATGAGAGGTAACACTTTATTTGAAGGCTTTCTACAACACTGGAGTATTTATGAACTACTCATGTTGGCATTTATGTTTATGAATAACATTGTAATGACACAAGAGGCCTTAATCTAAACTGATGGATATTTGTTCCATGTATAGTATGAAGAGTTTATAAGGCAGAGGCCTAGTTAAGTCTGTCACTGAGTCATTCCTATGAAAGATGCCAAACTTAAAAATGGAACAGGAAAATATCTAAGGGCATTAGAACCTTCCATAGAATTGATATATGGGGTTCTTCACTAAACCTCTGCCTTATAGGTTCCATTACATGCAGATGTTGCTTCAGAATGGTGTTATAAATGGAACAAGTGTGTCACGTTTGTTTAAGGGCCTACATGTCAATACAATGTCAGTCATTTCATAGAAATTTACTTTCATTTTCATTTTAGCGAATACTGACATAAGCTGTTCATTAATACTCAAGTATTTCTTTTAAAATGTTATTCAATGCTTACGCATGTGTTACGAAGTCCCCATGTAGGTAGCCTTTATATAAGTGTTTTCAACTGAGACAAGTCACTTCATTCCACCAGGCCTTTACAAACACAAGACCATGGTGTTTGGGTGTCTATATCAATGTGCTATTTGAGTGACAGGGTCTTGTCTCTGGGTCATTTTACAGAAACGTCCATTTTTGTGTCCCTAGTGTTTACAGATATAGATGACCCCTCTGCAACAACTGGCAGCTGTCCATCTCACCTTAGCACCTATATCAATGAACACCAGAGCTGTGTGCTACTCAACGCTGCCTTCAGTGGCAATGGAGAAGAAACTTGAGAGAAAAGCACTTGAAGGGAGTTTGGCACCTGCAATCTAATTCTCAATTATCAGTATTAGATTGTAGAGCTAGGGCTGTAGTCAAAACCACCTTTGTTGAGTCCAAGACAAGTCCAAGATTAAGGTTAGTCAGGATCAAGTGAAGAATTAGACTCATTGTTTGGCGAGTTACACCCCTACAGATTCACTTGGGACAAAAGAATGCTTCGAATCTTTGAGTTATTATTTTCATTTTGATGTATTGTTACTAAAACTGTATAATTACACATTAATTACATGTAATGAATTACATTTGAATTCATTTACATCCTGCATCAACAGGTTCAAGTGTATTCTTTTTCTTTCTGATGAAAATACCTTTTCTGTAGATTTAAACCATAAAATATGTTTTCTTTTACTTACAAACATGAAATGAAAGTTTAGACTAGGATTTCTTAACCCGTGGGCCGCAGACCACCAGTGGGCTGCAAAGCACCCTCTAGTGGTCCGCGGGCCAGTACTCAGGGGGAGGCAGTAGTTTTCAGTGGGCTGGTAGCGATATATAAATGAAAACACCACAGTCGCAGGCTAATCATCAGTCTGAGGGTGTTTCTCCTACCTTGTTCAGTTCAGACCGATCAAACTCTTTTCTTCAGTTTGCTCTGTTGTGATGTGTGTCAACACTCCACCCGTATTCCAGTCTGTATCATACAGCTGTAATGGTCTGGCAAAACCCTCGGGTTTCGATCAGCTTTAGACTGAACCCTGTTCAGTTCATGGCTGATGGGACGCATTTAATGATTAAATTATCAGAGCTGACTTTCCTCTTTTTCTATCAGCATGTCTGACTCTTTACAGAACATTGTTCTCATATCATTCGACAGATGAGCCTTAAAATAATAGCGAAAATCTGAGTTTGATTTCTGACCTAACTTCAGCCACCTGAAACTCAAACTGATAAACCTAATGACAAAGAAGCAGACATCAAGTTAGGTTCATTGTTGTTGAAGATTGTTGCGACAGTAGTCCAGAAGCCCCCTGAGTGAAGTGAGGTTTATTTCAAATTAGGTGCTAAAACCCTCAAACCTAAGGAGACATCTTGACACCAAACAGTCACTGGGAGCCACAAGGGTATTTTCAGTGAAAACGCGATTGACTGCAGCTCCAAATCACGGTCCACGTTTACATCTACCTTTTTTTTTCTTTTTTCCCCTTTTTTGACATCTCTGCATACATATGGGTTTTAAACATACTCTACAACACAACTGCAAATTTTGGTTTCTGTCATTGAAGTTAAATGGACCATCTGATCTTTTTTAGGCCCTAATTCAGAGGTTTTCAGTGTGAGCAATCACAAAAAAATATGTTTTTTTTTCAGTGGGCCGCTATGCTTTATAGTTACACACAGGGGGACCCCGGGGTGTAAAAGGTTGAAAATCCCTGAAATAGCTGAAACTGTCCAGTTCTACATTTAGTCAAATGTAAGAAGTTTTTTCACCTTTTTCAGAAGATGATCATGCATCAGTGCATGAGTTTCTTGGCATTCAGTGCCTGTTCTGAATAAATTCAATGCTAACTCTAAGCACAAAAGGATGCAATGATTTTGTTTTGAGTGTGCTTGAGTCATTCCACACTGGTTACAAGAAAGAAAGTACCAAAAATACATATATTTTACAAATGGTAGCTGATTTTGTTCAAGACTAGAGACAAAATTTGGCAAGATCAATGGCCAAGAAGACGATGAGTCTGAGAACAACTGCTGCTAAGTGCAAGACAAGTCTGAGGAAATAGAAAAAAAAAACGCCTTGAATCCGATGTGGAGATAAATGTATTTGATCACAAACAGAAACACAAAAGCACTAAATAGGAGATAAAGGGCCGCATGCTGTGCTATTTGCTTCAAAAGAACCACTCCCTGAAATTACAGTCCCTTGTGAACACACTGGTTTTTTGAGCAGATCCAGGCTTGAAGACACAATGCCCTGCACAGTTTGCTGTTGCCCTGCTCTGATACATCTAATTCAATTCATTATAAGCTTGAGATTTGGTGAGACAAATGGGCTAACAAGGTTAACTGCTTCGAATTAAGGAGGTCCTGAGCTGAACCCAAAGGAACTTTGTTCACCTTAGCTCAGTGCAGAGCCCCAAAATTAGCTCGCCAACCCACACGCCCGTCCTTATAATACGATTACTATCAGTAGTCCTGCTTTGAGATGCTTTGTGAAGGCACACCCAAGAGCCAGTCTTTGTGGGAATAAAGACATCTGGGATGAAATGCTTAGAGCCCTTTTTAATTCACTCTCCCTCATGTAATTAAATGTAATTAAATTCAAGCCTTGACTCTGCCCTTGAACCTCATTAGCATTAGCCTTAGACCACTATGGGTGAAATTAAATATAAAATCCTGGCCAAATTTGGGGCATTTGTAGCACTGATTATTAATGCAAACTTTAAAGAATGTTCAGAGATCGTCCAAAATCATAATCAGATTTAGTGTCTTTGGTTTTTGGTGTCTTTTGTTTGGGTCTCGAATGACCAATATGAGATATCATTGAATAATCACTGTGTACAACAAGCAGTAGTCAGCCAAACGTCAAGTAAAAGTCTTTACTAAAAAATATAGTAAAGTAAAAAGTACTTGAACGTATTTTAAAAGCTTCAGTTTGCCTGTGTTTTAGCTAAAAATATTGCTGTAACTATATTTTATCCCATCACTAGCTTGCTGCTAGGATAACTCTAGAAATTTCAACAGTCATGCTAGCAGACGTTTGCGTAATGCTTGGTGGTGGAAACCTGATAACCTGGTTTCTGCATAAAATACTGTTGTATTTATGACTCGTGTGTCCATAATTTATGACTATGTTTTTCCAGACATTAGTTATCAGCCTAGCTGCATGGCTAGGTGCTTGATTTATACACCTGTGGCAATGGGACTGAATGAAACAGCTGAATTCAATGATTAACAGGTGAGTGCCGATAATTTTGTCCATATTGTATGTGTACACTTTTGGCTAACGTGCACCTTGTTGACTGAAGTTTCCAGTCAATCGTGGTCAGTTCACAAACTACTGTGGCATAACCAATAATTACTTTACCACATACCAGTTTCACAAACTTCTGTTGTGCTAATGCACTGCAGACAATGAAAGAATTTGAATATGCATAACCAATGACCCGCATTCCTTTGAGTCTTCTGAGAAGTAGTTTTGCTACATGTTAAGTGATAGTCAATCACATTATTTACTTTGCTATTTATGGCTGCTTAGCCAAAGCTTTCTAAAGCCTCTCTTTAGGATTTAGGCCTGAACCATCTTTCATCACAGCTCTGGAGACAGAACAATCTTGATTTGAGAAATTAACTGAGCCCCAAACAGGTTCAACGGAGTGACGGATGACCACATTAGTGCTGATCCCTCTATCGCTCCCATTCATCATCTTTGGCTCAGTAGACCTGATCTGCCAGTATGCTGATGGAACAAAGCGTCTAGTTGCTCTCCAACAGCAAGTCGTTTTTAAGTTCCTTTGGTCTCTCTTACCATCCATATACAGGTAATTGTTTTCCTAAAACCTGCGAGGGTTGAGTTAACAGCCATGGTGATAGAACAATAGGGGTAAATGCATCTCTTA